AAAATGCTGTCATTGTTCCCGTCTCCCGGAAGATCCAACACCTTGGGCAGCCTTATTCAGTATATCCAATTATATTTTCTACTACTTTTCGTTATTCTTGGAGAATTTTCATGAATTTAGCCTTGTTGTTGTATTCATTTCTCCTTTCTTTCCCCGCAAACTGCCGCCAATGTTATGTGTTTTCGTGCTTTTTATCGTCCTCATCGCAAAACTATTTTATCGTGAACACAGAATAACTACAGGGTAAGATGACCGTGTCGTATAACTCGGCCGTATCTTCCGTTAATACGTTCACATTTTTTCGTCTTCTGTTACGTTGGAGAGGATCGATATGGAAATCGATATCGGGCGAGTTGCTGCTGTGGATCGTTTGCTACTATATTGTATTTGCAATTTATCGATATGTGTTGAATTCTCAAGCCCAAAGGTACCTTTTTAATGGATGTGACACTGAATGCGAATCGGCCTTTGCATGCAGGATGATGTCTCTGAAGCACTAGGATAATCACCCTGCAGCGAAACAATAGTACCGATAGGGTAAAGTTATATCCAAGTTATATCACTGGAGGAATCTTTCCAGTATGTAGGTGGAATGGAGCTGTTTGCAAAAAATGGCGCCATCCGCACAGCTCGAAAGAGGCACAAGGGGCTAGAGCCTTGCAAATGCTTGCGATGAGCGGCTGTGATAGTACTCCTGTTGACCGCTAGCGAATCGCCGAATACCTGTGCACTCTCGTACAGCACGCTCTTTCGCGTCTCCCCACTTCTCTGCACCCTGTCTTTCTCCTTTGAATCACCGCCGCCTTGCCGAATGTCTGAGCTCGTACTTTTAGTGCTTTCCTTAAAGGCAGCGATTACGATAAAGTGGGAGCGCATCGGGAAGCATATGCACCACACGAATCAGTTACTTGGCTGCCAGGGAAGCGAGGTGTAGCGCTTTCACGACGAAAGGTGCGCTGGTTGCTGAGCAGGACTTCGAAAGCACTCCGCCCCAAAAGCGATCCGCCCACTAGTTTAGTTGGTGATTTGGACGAGCAGCGGCACAATTTGAGTAACTCGATTGGAGTGTGGTTTGGCATGGTGTCACCAAACTCGATGAGCTCGTTCATACGCTCGCTGTTACCTGCTCATGAGTGGAAACTGAAGGCAAAAGGGTCGCCATTCATCGTTTTTTGACGGATTCTCCACCTTTTTCGGCCGACTGGCGTAGTCCATTGCAGGCCCCTACGTTCCTCTAACCCTTGCTGAACTTATTGTAGCCACTGCCTTTCATTCACATTGAGCACCTTTACACCAACCTGACGCATGCCGTATTGGCAAACATTGAAATATCAACTTTCCTTTATGGTTTCCTCTTCATCATTAGGTTAGTGCATTTTGTCGCTTGGTCCACTCGACCGATATCTTTGGGTTGTGGCACTTGCGAGTTCTGATCGCCCAGACTACATCATTGGAAGAAAAATTTCACAGCTGCATTCATGGTGCTAACAAGGGAGGTCTTTCAGGGCAAGCCGCGCTTTTTGGAAACGGTTTCTTGCATGTTGTAGGGACGCATGTATGGACCACAAAACCATGTTTCGTTTTCGCTGAACGGTTTTAGTAGTACCAAAAAGTGGTGAATGATACTCTTAATGGTTCGATCCCCGCGGCGACTAATGCATCTTGTCCTACTGTAGCATTTAATTGTCATATGAATTAGGCTGTATATTTTACATTTTCCACCGTGAATAATAAATTCAAAAATTCATCTTCTGAATAATTACCTTTCCTATTCTCCAGGTTTTGAGAACTTTCTCATGCATCCAAATAAGTCATGACTTATGTTGCAAAGAAAATAAAGAGACCAGAAGAGAATGGAGTATCCGGGCACTCTCCGTAAAGACTAACTCCTTCGCGCTTAGAAGTGCTCGGAGACAAGAATGAGTGCATACGGCACCTTAAATAACAAAGATGACGGCAAACAGGGTCTGTCGTGCCCGAAGAACAGTTCGCATTCAGTCTCTACATCTTCCAAAGGATTGCCAATTCAGAGGTTTGGCATGTGAGGCTGTATCTGTCCCTATTACCCTTTCAGGAATTTCGAACGCATAGCCGACTACTGTAACGAGCACGTTGCTTGCATTCCGCTAACATTTTTGTTGGGATTTTTCGTTTCAATCATCGTCCGTCGATGGCGAGACATCTTCGCGAATATGGGTTGGATAGAAAAGTGAGCTGTGTTGTTAATTGATCTGCTTCAATGACACTAATAACATGCCCACACCTCATCCCTAAGGCAGGTGTTAGACTCTGCGAGTCGCTAATTAGTAGGCGACACTTTTGTCTGGTAGAAATTCTGCCCCATGTCGGAGGGAGAGGTTAGACTCATGTCTGCACCTCCAAACCGCGAGTTCGATCCCTGCCGAGGTTAACCATGCCTTGCAAAAATTGCAAAAATGGTTCTAGTACCAGCGTCAGGCCCAGGTTGACAGGCCGGCTGATGAAGACCCCAGTCACACCAACATGTCTAAAAGTCGCAAAAGAATCAGTGATAAAGCTAGGACGTCACCCGGAAGTGGCGCGCAGAACCCCCGCCCGAGTTCTGTGGTCAGTATGCGAGGGCTACCGAGGAGTGAACGGCCTCGGCCAAAGAAGCTAGTTCGAATTGGGGGGAGAGGGAACTTAGTCAGGATTGACCTTTCACACCTACTCGCTGTCGTTATCTCGCACCACCCTCTCACCTGCCTACGGCTGGACCTTGCTTAATTAGCTGTGCTGAGCGCTGACCTCGCTCCAACAAATCGCTCTCATGAGCAGTATTGATTATCAAGTCTATATTTTTTCAGAGATATGAGAGTAAAGAAAATACAACTCTGAAAATTCAGCTACAGGGGACGTGCTAATTTCCTATTCGGATTCATTCTGCTGGAGAACTTCCTTGAGCAAAGTACCAATATAACGCTATTTTTTAACCTTGCGATAATTTAGAAATTATCGCAGCGTTGCCCATTAGCCTTCCTAATACCTTTTTCCCCTATCACTTGTCTTTCCAAAATTGCCATCGTATTCTTGAACTACGAGTGATTCACGAAAAGAGTGCGCTACGACGTTCAGTGAATATCATTTTTTTCATTTACCCATGGGATTTGGATTAATTTATAGAGAAAATTAACTAACGATTAGCTTAGCTTTGGAGGGACTATGCTTCGATGGCTCAGCGCGCAATTTAACCTTTGTTGCGGTAGCGTTGGAATTTTCAATTTCAGATCTCCCTCTTCCTTACAATCCTCCTTGCGCCAAAAGGTAGAAGATACTGGTAGACTTTATGCGACCGTGGCTGCAAGGCATGTTGACAGTGAAACGCCGTTGAATTTTGAAACCAAATTCAACCAATTTACGAGATCAGTGTGCTACGACATTCAATGATCATATTTCGGTTTTCTTCCAACATTCCCCATTTTACCAATAAGCTACGGAATTTGAATTAATTTATAGAGAAGCCTGCGTACGATTAGTTTCGTTTTCAGAGGAACTAGGCTTAGATGACTCTGCACTAGCACTTCGTATGCGCAATGTTACCCCTGTTGGGGCTTAGCTTCCTTAGCTTTTCACAAATTGGCCAACTTTGTAAGGATTTGAATTTGCAAATTTCTTTTCTAAAATCTGAAATCGCTAATTTACTTGATTGTCGAAAGCGTTTCTGATGTAAAATGGACCAACAAAATTTCAAAGCAATCCGAAAAAAAACGACACTTTCTTTACATCTTTCAATTTCTGTTATCTTTAAACCCTGCACAATGGGATAATGAGGTTAGAATGACCTAGTGTTTGCTTTGTTATAAGCCAGAACTATTTCATGAAGTCGCTTATCTGAAAAATCTTGAGAGTTTTTCGCTCACTTTCCTCGCTCTTGCATCTGCTGGGAATTACTAGATTGAGCTTTGAAATTTAGAAATCAGATTCCTAAAATTAAAATTTCAGCTGCTTTACTTAAACTAATTTTGTGTTGATGACTTCTTGAGCGATTAATATTCTGTATGAGATGAATTTACAGGGTTGAGGTCAGCAGTCAGCGCAGCCAATTAAGCGGTGTCTATCCAATGGCAAGTGAGAGCAGGGTGTGAGGCAACGACAGCGAAGAGGTGTGAAAGGTCAATCCTGACTAAAGGTGCACACCCCGTTTGTCCTCCTGAACGTGGTGGCACGCTAACTGCGGAAGTCACGCGGAGGTTGTGCTGACCCGATGACAGCGTAGAAAAAAAGAATATCCAGGTGCTATGCCTTCAGGAGACGCGATGGAAAGGTGCTAAGGCCAGGGAAATCGGGGAAGGTGTCAAACTCTACTACAATGGCGAAGACACCAAGCGGAACGGCGTGGCCATAGCGGTAGCGGAGTTCGCTCAAGGACTATGTCTCCGCCGTGAACAGGATCAGCGATCGGATCATGGCTGTGAGAGATAGGTTAGGCATGACCCACGTGGACAATAATACGCTTTCCACGCATAAACCCAAAACAACACGTGCGTGCACTTGTGGAGGGCGGATCCGTTGCTATCGACACATTTGCTACTCGGGAACCCCAGACCGCTGAGTCTCACCCCGGCATCGATGGCGAAATCTACGATGGAACGGCAACCTATAAATCAATCAACGAAGAAGTGAACGTTGCGGTGTAGAGTGAAAAAGACCATGAGAAACGGCCCATATCCCAAAATGAGACCCCTTCTTCGACCGTTGAGTTCCGTAATGATGCAACTCTCATCAGTGCTGCTCTCTTCAACGCTAACGCTCTCTCTCCCTGCCAAACTGCTAGAGTCGACGGGTGGGCGTGCCGCGGAGCTAGTGCGGCGCACGGCTGTGGCCATACTTCGTCACTGGGGCAACTCTTCGACGGGAAATGCGTATCGTTCCGCACCCTTGCGGGTCCACCTACTTTTCTATTTATTATATTCCCCTTTTTCAGCCTATCGTGAAACCCTTCCAAGCAGATCACAGGAAGCCCTAGTCATGTAATCGAACGCAGCGGATAGCGGAGCGGACCTTCAACCTTATAAATCCTGCTAAACTCAAAAGCGAATTCCTTAGCGACCAGTAAAGCACAGTGTGACTTACCTTCGCTAACGCCATTTTTCTCATTCCCTCCCTCTTCCTTTGTTTTTTAGCCGAAACCTCATATCTTTACCATATACATACATCCATCAGGGTCCTTAGAATAAGCAGATCGAAGACTTTCAGCTTGGCTCTAACGCTTACGAATCTGCTAGAAGGCGATGGAAAGGAGAATCGGCAAATGCGACGCACTATCATTCGATACACGGTGCTATCACAAGTGAGTTATCTGTTTTTTGACGACCTTCCAGAGAGTAAGCATCGATAATGAGCAGGTCCTCGTTTTCCGCGATATTTCAATGCGAGTACGAAGAAGATTCCCAACTATGGAATCGATGGTAGAAGCTGGTAAGTGCTAGACGTATTTTTTTCTACCTTGCTATTGCGAAAGAGCAATAAATCCGCTGTTACAAAGGCTACTTCGATTGATCTTTAGAATAAGGTGGACATGTGCATGGCGCATCAGAGTTCGCCCTTTTCAGGATTTCTGAACTTGGACGAGCTGAAAGAGCTCAGCAAGATCGATTTGGCATACAACAGGTACTGGACTCCTATCCACTGGGCTCTTGGAGTTTCATTCCAAGCTCTGGAAAAGAAGTACTTTGAAACACCTTGGGCAAGGATTTGTGTACAGAACGTGAGTTCAACAACTGATCGTTGACCTAGATATATTATTATTTACATCTATACGGCTCAGCTGCATTTCATCTGCGAGCTGCAGCGCCAAACCATTCGTTTCGCCTTTGCAACTGCCATCCATGCTTGATGTAAAAGCAGTGGAGATGGCGATCGGACGAATCTTTTAGCTGCTTTTGGAGTTTCTTTACGTCGTTGACGAGCGCATCTCCCACCTCGCAGCAGGTCTCTCTTTGGACCACAAAATCACACTGGAGTCCACTCTACCCTTCATGCTATTCATCTGTCATCATCTCTTCTCATGATGTGACCGGCCCGTCGTAAATTTATGTCTGTCATGTACTCCACAGAAGAGCGGACATTCTGCATAGATCTAAGCTGCGGGGTCCGATTCGATATTGAGTAAATCAAAAATACTAAACGTCAGAAAATATCGCTCGAGCTTCATTGCTCTACGCGTTATACTTTCATTCATATCGTATTGAATACGATTCGGTCTATGGGATCAGCCAATTTGCAAGTCCGTACTTTTTCCCTCTAATCAACGTGATTGGCACAAGGCTAATCTGTACAGATGAGGCTTGTGCCTAACCACGAAGGTAAGAAGGGCTCGGATGGCCTGAGCAAGGCTCGATCCGCCTTCCACCCCATGGTACTGTGCACGATAACTGCTGCTCGCTACAACTCGACTTCCACTATATCAGCGAATCTATGATCACTGCACTGGTGAAACTGCCTATTACCGAAACGCACATACTATACATAGATTGTATTCTATCGGACTGATTCAGTAGACTACGACAATTTCATTATGCACGTTTTCGTTCTTTCATTTGTACATGGTCACGGACCAGGCATGGGCCGATACATGTATCGAGTTAGAGAAATGGGGCAAATGTAAGAGTGGGCGTAAATTATGGAAACCCGAAAAAAAAGTTACGGAAGAAGAATCTGAAGAATGACTGCGGGTTCGAATTCTACTCGAATTATAATAGAATTCCTAAAAACAACAAAAGCGGTTGTGCTTCATGCTCAGAGATTAGTAATAACTCCAAACCAGGATTCTCCTGTAAATATTTAATTATTTATCGCAAAAGATTCGAGTTAAATATATGATCTGTTTAATTCAGGAGATCGAAATATTTCGTACCAACTTGGCTCTTCTCTGCAATTTTGACTGGGTTCCAGTACCAATCAGCTACCCTCAGGTGAGCTATTATTCACTCTGTAGCAGAGTTAACCGTTCTTAGCTAAACATGCAGGAGGATCTTCGGAGTCACGGCTTGCAGAAGAGTTGACAGCAAATGCTGCCAACGCTCCCCCCCCCCCCACACTCGCTAGTGATTGACAGTACGCGCCTGGTAATTGTCTCATGTCAGCCAACCAATCACGGACGAGTGGGCGTCTAAGTTCTGGGTTGCTGACAGCTGTGACGTCGACACTCCTAGGAAGAGGACTGAGATCTGTAGTTTTAGAAGGGTCGGAACTGGGAGGGAAGGGAAAAGTCGCCGACTTCTTCTCACGTTCAAAGCGCGAACTCGAGGTGCTAAGTAGACAATTTAACGGTACTTTCGACTATTGGGGAGAAGGATGATGGGAGACACCTGAGTGAGGGGGAGAATTCATCTGATCTCAAACTCTCTCGCGAGGTTAAGATTGACCTTTCTTTGTCTTCAATCATTTTTTTAACAAGGTATACGGGAAACATTTCTTTACTGTTCCAGCTAATATGATGTCTATGCTGTTAGGTAGCAGAGCTCAAAAACACTATAATTTTGGTGGAACCGATCGATAGAGAATGTTAAGGTCGTCTTCCTTGCCGTTCGCTCCTACTTTGTGATGTGCCTCATATCTCGACAATTTTTAATCAAAGATGAAATCATAGATTATTTCGAAGTAAGTTTGGTGCTTGCCTTAGAACAAGAATGGAGAGCCGCTCTCCCCAATTAAAAAAACAATAATTACATTCACTACATAGACTCAAACCGAATGATCCCAACTGAATTTTCAAGGAGCATTCTATTCTATTCTATCAGCAAACTTCGCATATAGCTACACTCGCTGGCATTTCCCACGGGAACGTG